CCCGGGCGCAGCAGGACTGTTCTTCTGCCTCCCAGGCTCCTCGGCAGCCCCGAGGCCTGCACCCTGCGACTGGGCTCCAGACCTTGGGCCCAGGACACAAGAGAAAGACCGAACGCCGGAAAAGGCGGTTCCACGAAGCCGCCCACGCTGGGCTCACCGTGGCAACGTAATCCTTGAGGCTGAGTGCCAGCTTGAAGCACGGCTGGCTGCTCATCAGGTCCTCCAGCTCGGAGAGTTCCTGCAGGCTGTTGAGCAGCCGGAGGCACCTCAGCTCCTCCGAGTGGCCTTGCGCTTGAGCCTTGAGCTGGAGAGGAGGAGGAGGAGGAGGGTCAGGGGAGGGGCCTGAGGCAGTCGCAACTGCCAGGCGGGGAGAGCAGCTCCAGATACCCCGTTCAGACCTGAGCGATGCCAGCCTTGGTGTGAGGCGCCCCTCAGAGAGCAGGGATTGATGTTTATGGCAGAGACCATTGCTCAGCGGGGCTGGTATTGAGTTGTGGTCCTGGAAGCAGCAAGAGCTGCCCCTGCCATTCCCCCAGGGGGAAGAGGAGGCCTGGGGGGCCTCGAGCCTCCTTCCCCTTGCCATGAACTCCCCCCCGGCCACTGGGGATGCCAGCCCACCGCAGATGGAAAAGGTGGTTTGGTCAAGCTGACAGAGGGGAAGGCAGCCAAGGCCTGTGAGCACCAACCCAAATGCTCCAGTGGTGACTCACTCCAGTTGGCACGCTGGGCACCCACTTTGAAGACCAGGAACTGGGTCAGGTGTTGAGGAATCAGAACAGCTACACACAGCACGGTGCAAGCCAGCGGGCTGCGCGCACAACTGCTGCCGGGCTCTGGCGATGCCAGGTCAGTACACTGTCTTAGGGCCAGAGCTCCTGCAGGAACCCCCACAGGCAATCAAGGGGACCCCAGAGCCCCTGGGGGCTCCCCCAAAGAAAGGTAAGGACTGCCTGGCCCAGCAGCCTATCCCCACCAAGTGACGGGGGGCACAGGGGGAAGGAGAACCCCTTTTTCCCATGGCAGGATGCTTCCTAACTCTTTAGCAGATGCGGGGCTTGTGTTTAACCCCCAAGTGCACCGAGGTACATGAGGCCACAGCAAACCATGAATGCCCTTCCTGGTTCCACTTAGCAGAGGGTGGGGGAATGCCACCCTTGATCTGCAACACCTTGGCTGGCCAGCAAGGCTAGGAGTGCCCAACAGCCATAGACCAAGTGGGAGGCTTTCCACAGGCCTTATGAGGAGCACATCAGAGAGGCTTTCCTACCAGCGCAGGCTCCCTGTATGTTCTGTGCAGTCTCAAAGAATTGGAATGGCAATTAAGAGAAAATGAAACCCAAACTGAGCCTCGAAGTTGCTAAATTCAGGAAACCTTGGCCGCGCCCATCCTTCCCTCATCACAAAACAAGCACGCAAACCTCTTGCCAGCTGATTGATAGTGGGGATTAAGAGCTGGGCAGAAAAGGCCTGACAGATGGCCGTAAACCTTGTGAACAAAGGCCCTGTGACGCTAGCACAGCTGCTGTTGAAGCAATTTTCTCATTCGGAAGGTCTGTAAAAGTTTTAATGGCTGATTCTAAGAAGTGACAAGGAAATGCTTTTCCCAGCAAGGTTAATCATTGTACTGAAAGTTTCCCTCCGAGTCGGAGCAACACCCAGAGGTCCCAATACAGTGGCCGTCTGCTGGCTCATTGGCTCAAGAGAAGACTTGCTTCTGGCCTCCCGCTTGCCCCAACGTGGCCACCTCTGAAAACCATGGCCCCACATTCAGGCTGTCTGATGTTACCAGCTGAGCATCTCGTGGAAGCGAGGCCCTGAGTGTGTGGCTCTCATCACTCCAAGCCTGACCAGAAAACCCCCAAGGAGGCTGCAGCAAATGCTCCGGTTGCCCCATGGACAGTCCTCAGCCCTGCTCCAATTTTCGCTGCCCCCACCCCCGGGCTCCCACCTCCACACTGCCAAGACACAGAACTGGTCTGCTCCTCCCGGCAGTGGAAATCTCAGTCGGGCCTGCAGGCTGCAGCATCAACCAGTGGAGGAGTGAGCAGACGCAGCTCATGCCCCCTCCCTCCCTCCCTCTTAATGGAGCTCAGGGAAGCCCCCCACCACTTCTCCACCCACATGTCAGTTGGGCCTTCTTGACCAGGGTGTAGATCTGTGTTGCTAAGGGACTAGGCCAAGTCTCTCTTAGTTTTGCAGGGGAACCTACACCCATGTTGCTTCCAACAGCCCAGGATCAGGCTAGAAGCATATCATGGAGGCAGTGGAAGGGACTCACTCCTGGGGCTGTGCAAGCCAAGGAAGGGATCGTTCATGACCCATCCTCTGCCTTGCCCCTGGAGCTGCCTGCCCATGCTTGTCAGCGCTCCCTTGCACTCTGATTAGCTTGGAGTTACAGAATAGATTGGGGGGGCCAGTAGCCACGGAGCCCAACCCCTGCTCAGGGCAGGAATCCATCTTAAAGCATCCCAAACAGCTGGGCTGGAGGAGCACATCTAGCAAAGGGAACCCACCACTTCTGGCTCGTTGTTCCAGCCAAATGGTTCTTACACCATTAGGAATTCTTTTCTGACATCCGTCTGTTGTTTCTCTGTCTCTCCCGCTCCGGGATGAAAGAGAAAGAGAACAGGTCTTGACCTTCTCCCTGTGACCTCTCTAAGGTATCCGAAGAGGACTATTATATCTCCGCCCCGCCCCCAGGCATCATTTTTCAAGGCGGAACAGGCCCAGCTCCTCCTCCTCTCCTCTCCGCAGACCTCCATTTCCACCCTCCTGATTGTCTTCATTGCCCTGCTGAGCGTGGAAGGGGAAGGGGTGGGCTCCAACCAAAGCAGAGTAAATGAAGCAACTGCTTTACATAATTGGAAATTATGTTTCTGTTACTACAGTCCAACCGCTTTTGCCTCTTCTTCACAGCCACGTCACCCTGCTGGCTCACATTCAGTTGGCAGCCAACTGCGGTGCCAAGAACTTTCCCCAAGTCTTGTTACCGAGCCTGGTGTTCCCCCACCTACTTGCTGTGTTTGATTGTTGTGTCCTAGAGGAAGAACTTTGCACTTCTCTCTGTGAGCTTTCACTCTGTGGCTTTGGCTAACCTATCAGGATCATTTCTAGGGTCCTAGCAGCTCACTGGAGTCTATGCCAGCCGTAGATTTGATCAGCAGCCCCACCTTCCAACTTGTTAGTAAAAACTACTGAAGAGGATAGGAGTAATTCCTCCGCTATTCAGTCTGTTCCACTAGCCTATGCACCCCTCAGTCCCCATGTCACCCAGCTCATACTTCAGAGGGTAGAATCAGCATAGCCTGGAGCACCTGGGCAAATCAGGTGCTCCAAAATCAGGAAAGGTCTACAGCATCTCTGGACAGAACTGAGCGACTGAAACACGCCAAAGTGGGTCTGGCAGGATCTGTTCGAGACACATCCGGTCTGGAGTCTGGTTCCTATCCCAAAGTTTTGCACGTCCGAACCCTAAAAGCTGCTCAAGCACGGATGCCCGGAAATCCTCAGAACGAAGCGAAGCCCGAACCCGCCTTCTGCCGCGCTTCGTCCCCTCCTGCAGCTGAGTAACCTGGCGTCCCGCCCCACCCCGCCAGCCCCAG